CGTCACACACGTTCGGTCCATATTCTTGTATGAAGTACTTTCAGCGTCGCTTTGCTTCCCATGTTTTTTTTATCCTGCCAAATTGTCCAAATCCTTTTATTATCAATCAAACGCTCCCACATTTAAAAATAAGACATTTCTATATTTACAGTAAATAAACGAGTGCTTCACCTCAACCGTCCATGATGTCTTTATGATGAAAGTGCTGAGATGTGTCATAACGAGTGTACTTATACTCACACATAAAAAGCTATTTGTCCTAATACTTTGCTTTAAATGAGGCTGTTTGCACATCTGTACACATGACAGGTGTGTCAGTGCAAACTGACTGACAGCCACGACACCGGCTGCCTTCTTTTGCTTTTCTCCAGTAATACCATTCAAAAAACATCTTCCATTAACATTCTTCCTACTTGCCATACTTGAGATGCTGGATTTTAGAAACTCTATTTCCTACTGGGACAGTGTGCAGGAACATCTCTGCTGCATATGGATTAGACGTCCCCCATTCCTGCTGGGAGACACAGCTGACAGTGTTCGAGAACAGCAGGGATGAGGTCCTGTGGGACTTTGAGCTCCAGACAGACGAGCACCTGCTGGCCAACCAAGCACATACAGTGGGGCAAAAAAGTATTTAGTCATCCACCGATTGTGCAAGTTCCCCCACTTAAAATGATGACAGAGGTCAGTAATTTGCACCAGAGGTACACTTCAGCTGTGAGAGACAGAATGTGAAAAAAAAATCCATGAATTCACATGGTAGGATTTGTAAAGAATTTATTGGTAAATCAGGGTGGAAAATAAGTATTTGGTCACCTCAAACAAGGAAAATCTCTGGCTCTCACAGACCTGTAACGTCTCCTGTAAGAAGCTTTTCTGTCCCCCACTCGTTACCTGTATGAATGGCACCTGTTTGAACTCATCATCTGTATAAAAGACACCTGTCCACAGCCTCAAACAGTCAGACTCCAAACTCCGCCATGGCCAAGACCAAAGAGCTTTGGAAGGACACCAGGAAAAGTATTGTAGACCTGCACCAGACTGGGAAGAGTGAATCTACAATAGGCAAGCAGCTTGGTGTGAAAAAATCAACTGTGGGAGCAATCATCAGAAAATGGAAGACATACAAGACCACTGATAATCTCCCTCGATCTGGGGCTCCACGCAAGATCTCATCCCGTGGGGTCAAAATGATCATGAGAACGGTGAGCAAAGATCCCAGAACCACACGGGGGGACCTGGTGAATGACCTGCAGAGAGCTGGGACCAAAGTAACAAAGGTCACCATCAGTAACACACTACAACGGCAGGGAATCAAATCCCGCAGTGCCAGACGTGTTCCGCTGCTGAAGCCAGTGCATGTCCAGGCCCGTCTGAAGTTTGATTTAAAATATAATCATATGAAACAGATGTTATTGCTCACAGTCAATAACATGATATTATTATAAAATGTATAATAGAATTTGTTTTTATTGAAACAGTAAGACATTTGAAGTCAAACGAGTGTGTGTCTTAGAGCCTGTAATCCTGGAGCCTCCTCGTCCTGCTCGGAGTTCTAGTTTCAGGCTGCCTGCAGATGTCTGCCTAACCCACAGACTGACGTGTTGCCAGCTGCAGACACACAGGTATCTTTTACCTGGAAGAACTCAGCAGGTGACTTTGGCTCCACTACTGTTTGCTCTTTTTTCTGACTCTGACTGTGAATGCTGTCACAGCATTACATTAGTAAGAATGCTGTAGATTCTGTTGTTTCTTTGAGGTTATTTAATAGGTGAAAAACAACGTTGTACTAATAAATATACACTTGTTACTGTGTAACGACATTTTCCAACAAACTGATGTGTTCTCAAAAACTTCCATCAAAAACACAGAGGAGCTGGCAGAGGTTTGTGAAAGCTACCATGCTGCATCACCCTCCTGAATATAGTGGCCACTCATGTTTTATGTCTCCAGAGATCTTTACCAAAGAAGGGAAACTGCAGTGGTCACAACATGACCAGCATGTGGATAAAGTGACGTCCTCTTCCTTCTTATCTCAAGCCTCGTCTCTGACTCAGGTCTCTGACACACAAAAACCTGCATAAACATGATCGCGGTTACTTCTCGTCAGCAGAGTAGACGTGGGAAGCGTGACCTCCTGACTTGAGGAGCTGGCTAAAAGCTAACATTACTTAAGCTAACGTTAGGCCTGTGTTATATTTGCACATCACATGAGAGTTTCTTAGCTAAGACTACAACAACATTTATTTGAATTCAAATTTTAGGATCCGACATTCATGAATAATCTCTGGAATGATGCTATATTCCACAGATTATTCAGGAACTTTACTTCAGATTGGAGTTCTTATGTTGTACATCATCTTTTGCAGTAGTGATGGGATTTTCGGCTCCCAAATGGCTCTTCAGGTTGTTTTGTTGCTTTAATTAATTTAATTATTAACAACAATATAAAATTATGCCACAAAACGAACTACTAATGTAAAAAAAAAAACATGGTTTTATTTATATGTGTTTATATATAAATATATGTGGTCGCTCCTAGAGGCAAAACACGAACAAACTCCAAAACACATTTCTAGCATTAACTGAACTTCCAAAACAGAGCTACTAGATCACTTAAATTACACAATTGAAAGCATGTGTGTATTGTTTGTGTATTTCTACACAAGCACTCATATATTCAAATACTAAAAAAAAAAAAGGTAATTTACCTGTTACTACCACACACCAAATCCGGTCATTGGTACTTCCTGGCTTGTGTAGCCACCAGGTAACAAAAGCTCAACACTGCCCCCCAGCGTCCTGGAGCACTTCTGTTGTGTTTTTACATTTTTTGAAGTTTGTACGTGCTTTGTCTGTAGGGGCCATCGTAAATATACTTTTATTTATTCACT